TGTAAAATGCACTTTTGGGTTGCCGACACTGTAAGGGAATGTATATATTGAAAAAGAAAATCAGTCATTTATAGAATGTTTGCATGATATAAATGGGAGGAGAAATTTATGAGCGTGATTGTATGATGGGGTTGCTTATGATGGTAGTGGGCAGGGCTCAGCAGTCCTGAGGCTCACTTCTGGTTTATATCTTATGTTTCTAAAAGCTTATGCTTCAGGTGGCCACCTGCAGGGTTCAGGACACCATTGAAACAGCATGAGTGAAAGATTTGTTTTAAATGTCTTGTTAACAGTGAGTTTAAAGATACATTAAGAGGACAGTAAGTGTTATATTTTAGAAGAGTACATGCTTTCATTAACAGTTGGTTACTATTAAGCGGGAGGACCAGAACATTTGGCATTAACAAGCTGGATCATCTGATGCCTGGCTTCCTGATACGAGTTTTACAATAAAATCAGCCAAATATAATGCATGAAGTAGCTTTTGGAAGCTGAAGTTCAAATGTAGGACCAATATTTACCAAAACCAGTTCAAGACTTTTAGGCTTTGTGCAACAAGAATCTATCAGCTCACTTGAAATATTTGTGTTTCAATTGTGTCACATGATTAAGGAGACTGGTTGCCTACTCGGTTGCAGTTTTCTGACAGTAAGCCTGAAGAAAGACTGTTGACAGACAGACACTTGCTGTAGAGATGCAGTCAGCAAGAGTTACTTAGACAGTGCATAAGAGGCTTCAGAGTCTAGTGAACAGAGAACACTATTAGTCCTCAATTAAAATCCTGGGAAAATTGAGTTAGATTGCATCTGCTTACACTGCAGCAAAAAAAATGTTAAATCTAAAAGTCATAGGCCTCTTCACATTCTGGAAAGTATGGCCCATGATGGAATGATGCCCTTCCTTATGACCAGGTTTACTCATACACAGGGAAAACTATAGTCATTATGGTGGTATCTAATTAAAGGGACAGTGACTAAAGTGGAACCTTCAAAGAAGGCATCTGCTTCGCTACATTTTCTGCCTCACATGGTAGCTAAGTGGAATCTGAAAAAACCCCACTTATCTACAAGAGTTTATAACTAGACTTCACTATAAACAGGTCCAATCCCAATTTACATACCTAGTGAGGAAGAGCTAATGAGCCATGGTAGTTAAAGACTAAGTAGTACAGAAGGAAGTGGTTAACTATAGGAAAAGGAGGGACATTTCCATTATTTGGAACAGGACATATTTTATTTGGTACACTTTCCAGGTTAAGTCTGATCAGCAGTCAGCTCATAAGCTGATGAGTAATTGGCACTAAACATTTCACCTGATGCAATCAGATACAAGTCATTACAGGAACCTGCTTGGTACGAGAAAACTTCATGCTGTGTCTACATTACAAAGAGTTGCAAGGGACCTGGTTATGATATGATCGCTTTTGTGGAGAATATGGCAGACGTGTCCCCTCCCCTCCACCCACCCACACAATACAAAATCATTGGACATGTAATCAGTGCTAAGATCTTGCATCTATTCTACAAAACTGAAACGACAGATTGCAATATTCTGCTTGTATTTTAGACCCTGGTTTTACCTTAGCATTCCAAAGTAGTCAAGAAAGCTGTCCAAATGCTTCAAACCTATCTACTGCTGCACTACACAACCAGATAAATGCTGCAGTTCTGGCATGGCCCAGCAGTTACTGACTCTCACAGTACCCAGAAAGAGTTTTGCAAGTATATGTATTTAATAATAGTGTTCACCCATATAAATTTCAGTGCTTTAAAGCCAAAGACTAAGCAATTGTTAGTAAAATTTACCATCTTTTGATCTTCAAATAGTAGACACATCCTCCTTCTGCCCCGGAGGATGGGGAAAAAAAAGTGTTTACTTAACATCTCTTCTCCCAATAAGTGGTACTTCTACCACTTCAGCCAGTTACACACTATATGTTCTTTCATCTATCATGAGCTCCTAGTACAGTACATTTAGAGTACTAGGTGTTCATGGGGTTGTTCTTTTTCAAAGGATGTGGGAGTGAAAGAACATTACAAATGTCACTGACCAGCTTGGTAGCCAGAATAGGCTCAAATGAAACTACCACTAAGTAGAGAGAGTCTATTCCCTCTCCTATCCAGTTGATATGTACAAGAAATTTTGATTCCAGTCTTCTTGTTGCTGGCATCCCATCATTTCCCCGCTTCTTCACCACTGAAGTGAGTCTTGGCTGTAAAAGACTAGAGAGACAGCCAGCACTAGTAATCTGGGGCTAAGAACGGACAGAGCTGAAGGCTCTGCCTGCTAGGCCAGACAGCTCCCAAAGTCAACAAGCTATCAGGATTGTGAGGTTAATGCTGTTGCTCAAAGTTTGGTTGTTCTGGCCAGCTACAGAGAGGATCCTGAAGCACAGGAAAGACTAGTATTGCAGGGCCTGCCTTAAGTCTGTTCAATCATTTTAAAACCTGGTTCAGCCTTCTAAAAAAGCAGAGAGAGCTTCACTTTGAGGACTACCACACTACCTTCCCTACCAAAAAAATAAATAAATAAATTAAAAAGAGCCTCTCTCCCAAACACTAACAACTTAGTCCTGCAGATGTGCTTCGCCAACAAGACAGAGGCTAAATTTATGGAGGAAGTGTTACTCAATTATTAGAGTGTCCTTGTTACACAGTATTAGCATGACACCAAGTTAGAGTGACATTCTTGATTAGGCAATGTAACTGCCAGAACACGAGAAAGTCAGTTACATTTACTGAGCAAGACCTAAATTCTTCAACATCTGCAAGTTGAAAACTTGGTAAATAAAGTTTCCTTTCCAACAGGTTAGTCAAATAAAACTTTGATCAGAGTGGCATGCACACAAAGAGTAAAATAGAAATACTGATCTGAGCAGAGCTTATCCTTCACAACCAGTAAACTGCAAACATAAGCTCTGAAATGCATCAAGACTGTCAGAGTGCCCAACAGTTGTATTACGCCTTGCACACGCTGAGGGACAGTCTGGTCTACCAGACCTGGTGAATATGCTATCTAAAGTCCTTATATTTATTTATTTTTAAAACAACTACAGGACAGTACTGAATCCATGAAAATGCTTTTTGGCAGAAGGGTGACGTAAGTAGTGAGGACTATCCAAGCTTAACAGAACACAAAATGTAAAATCTGTGTGGCTGTAAAAGAATCATACTGTTCGCACTCTTATGCAGCCAAAAAGTTAGCTTGTCTCTACCAAGATAAGCTTCTTAGCCAACTTACACCCAAGAATTCAGTATGTCAAGTGATTGTCATATCCACTCCAGACCAAAACTGGTTTAATGCCTCAGTTTCCCTGTAAGTGCCTTGGACTATCAGTTATGCCCTTTACTGCATGTGAACGAAAACACCAAGTCATATGCAGCCTTCCCCAACTGCAGTATTGGATACCAATAGCAGAGTCAGAGGAAACACATGCAATTCAGTGGCCCAGGCAAGTCATTCAATTTGTCTCCTGTTCAGTGACAGTCATAAGAAACTTCACACAGGAGGCCTCAGACTTATAATTGGTTCCGGGAATCCATCAGAGCACACCAACGAACCATGAAGTGATTTTCTTCAGCTATTCAGAAAGTGTATGCCCTAAAACATTCTATTAACAGGAGAAGATATAGATTGTTGGAATCAGAATATTCTTAGCAGCTAGGAATTAGCAGCAGAGTGTAGAAATAGGAGAGGAGTGCAATGTCAGGAGCAGACCTTCATGACAAGAAAAGAAAGCAGCTTTAAGCAGTTTATGGCAGATTATCAGAAATAAAATGGAAGAAAGTGGTTGAAGGCACTCTTCACGTTATGTGGTTGTTAGTATAGTTTGCCTAGACAACATGACATGGGAAGCTGTCCTAAAACCAGGTCATCAAGCTATGCTGTAAGCAATATTATGGCTGTCAGTAGAGAGTCTGTGTACACATCAAGCAAACTATGCTACATTTGTTAGTACAGAAAGCACCATGTTGTAGCTATAGTTCTAGTGAGGCCATCTCAACCCAGTCTTAGTTTTAAGGAAAGCGCATGATGGATCATCAGCTATAGAGACAGTTATTACAGCTAGTATTTTATCCCACAAAACCCAATACACAGAATGTCAGTTTTATTCTAGTCCACTGTACTTCTATGTTCCAGTTGCATGGATGCTATATAGGATACGGTACCAGGAACTGTAAAATGCAACAAGATTTGTAGATTATGGCTAATTACAAACCAAATTAAAGTTAAAACAAGTGGGTACCTAATCCTGCTCAAAAGTAGCTACCAACCCCTCATTACTAAATAATGGAGTTGCAATGAGGCCTGTACGAGCAGCTGGTAGGAAGCAGTGGTCTCCCTACCAGACAGAGGAGACCCCCATTGGCCTCTGTGCAGTGCCAGCACTGCTAGCCTGCTGCAACCTCCTGTTTTGAGGGTTGGGTCTTCAGACCTGCCCTAAGGTTGCTCAAAGAGATGGCCCATCCCCCCAAAATCCACCATTCCCATACACCGAGCCAAAAGTCATCCCCTAACCACTGCCAGAAACCTCCTCCAGCCATACTCCACCCCACCTAAAGGCTGGGAGAGGAGAGCAGCCTGTCCCAACCCCCAACGAGAGACAGGCCTGCTTATACCCCATCCAACCCAATGGGGGGCAGACCAAGGGATCTGGACTCCCTCCAACACTCTCTCTCCCCCCATTACCCCCATGGCCCAGAGAGCCCCCCCCCCAGCCCAATAGGAGATGGACTAAGGGACTCAGATCACTCCTACCTCCTCTCCCCTGTACCCATCCCCCAAGACACAGAGAACGACACAGAGACACACACCCCCCGATGGACCAAGGGACCTGGATCACTCCTGCCCCCTCACCCCAGTACCCACTCCCCCAAGACACAGAGAACCCCCCCCCCCGAGCCCAATAGGAGATGGACCAAGGGACCTGGATCACTCCTACCCCTCCCCGGGGGCAGTGCCCCTCCCCGCCCAGCCCGCGGGAGCGGGCACGAGCTCACCGCGATGACGTTGACGAAGGTGGTCTTGCCCGAGTACTGCAGCCCCACCAGGGTGAGCTCCATCTCCTCCTTCCAGAAGAGCGAGCGGAACCAGTCCAGCAGCCGGGACAGCAGCGCCAGCATCGTGGCGGCGAAGCGGGCCGGGACCCTCCGGCACTAGCGCTACCTCCGGCCCCTCGGGGACTCGCGGCGGCTGGCGGCCCCTCCGGCAGCGACTCGCGGGCTGCGGCTCCGGCCAAGGCCAACGCTGCCCTGCTCGCCGCGCCGCGGTCATATGACGGCTCGGCTCCACCCACCGGCCGGGGGAGCAAGAGCGGCCCGGCCGGCAGCAGCCGCAAACCCAGCCTACGGCGCCCCCTGCCGGCTAGGTGTCCGCCCTGCGCCCGGGGAGGACTCATTCTCGCGTACCTGCCCTGCCAGCGCCGCCCAGCGGCCACCTGAATGGCTGGGGTTGGGGCAGGGATAGGGACTGGGGCAAGTGCTGGGACGGAGATAAACAAGGTCAAAGGTAGGGGCAGGGATAGGGGCTGGAGCAGGAATAGGGGGATAGGGATGGGGCAAGTATAGGGGGTTAGGGACTGAGGCAGGGGCAGGGGAAAGGGGCTGGGGCAGGGATAAGCGGATAGGAACTGGGGCTGGTGCACAAATAGGGGTTGGGACATGTGCACCCCACTGCCATCCCCTTCCCCTTCTACTCTCACCCTATCCCCCTAAAGCACCCCCAGACCTCCTCCTCCAACAGCTCTACTGCCCCCATCCCACTCCCTAATACCCCATATAGAGGATTGGAAGGATTCGATTTTTATTGGTCAATGTCAATTTCACTGTATGTACAACAAATATATCCATGGATAAGAGTGGAAATTTACAAATAGGCAAGGTAAGAAAAATGCTGCTTGAGAGCTTATGAGAGTTTGGTTTAAGGATATTTACTTTGGGTTTTTGACTATTAGTGTTTTGATGGCTATAAAGCTTTAACTTCTTGAATCTCGCTGTCTCTTGTCATTAAATAATTATTGTCTGACACTCCCCATTATCTGACACCTGTCCCATAATTTCCCACAACTGTGAAAATTTAAATCAATAAAAAAAAATTGAAATGCTTAAAAATAAACATTGATATTAAATGCTGAAATTCTAAGAATATAAACACTGAATTCCACCTAGCCTATTCCAAATGTTCAGAAACTTTGTCAATCCCCCAACCCCCCAAAAATTATGCAACTGTCTTAAAAATCGTGAGATTTTGAAAAATAAATATTAATAGTAGGTTATTTTTATTTGCCTTCTGCTTTCTGAGCCTGTGGGGTGTGCTTGGGTCACATTTTCCAGCTTTTTTCCAGAATCATTAGGGTTAGAAACTTTTTTTTTTCCAAAATGAAAGCAAAGATTTTTGCACAGTCACTTGCCTCCAGGAGCCAGGGCTTTAAACATAAAATATTGATTTATGATAAATCATGAGAATTGGCAACACTGGCCACCACTTGCTATGCCACACAGCTACCCACCCAATACTCCATACTGCTTCCCCCCATACTGTCCTGAACACCCCCAAATACTTCCACTGCCTCTGATAGCCCATCACCTTCTGATATCCTGCACTGCCCCTGTCTACTATCCACTGCTACCCTGACAACTTCACTGCTAACCCACTGCCCTGTGATGCCCCCCTCTTAAACCTGCTGCACCATTAGCCCTGTGCTGTCCTTGCATCCCCCACTGCCCCACACTCTCCCAAAAGCTCCACTGCTCCCAACCCCACTGCTCTCTGCTCTCCCACATTGCTCCCTATATCTCCACTTTCCCTTCTCCCATCCCACCACCCTGTATTACACCCCCACTCACACAGTGAACCCTCTGATGCTACCTCTTATATCTACTGACTTCCCCGCCCTGACTTCCCCTTTCTACCAGCCCCCTGCCTGCTGCAACACCCCAGCCATCCACCCCTTGGAAACAGGTTGCTTATTACATTGAAATTTACTTACCCTTGGAGCCCTGTGCTAGTGCTTGAGAATGAAAAAGAGAAATTGATCAGCCTGGTTTCCCTGTCCAAAATGAGTGAAGTACATAAAGGAAGCAAATAGTGTCAATGGGGAAAAGTAGATTAACTGTTTAAAGTTAGGGTGGCTTCGGTATACAGGTCTGGGCAAAGCTCAACAGTTTGACTCATAGAATTTCAATAAATATGAAAAGAACAGGGGCAAAGTGTTTTCAAGGAGGGACCTTCGGCTTTGGAACCTGCTCCCCACACCTCCCCTAGATCCAAAATAGCCCATCTGTTGAACTTCGCAGTACAAAGGCATAGCTATTTATTTACTTGGGCTTTGGGGGGAGGCAGGGGCTTGAAATGGGCTGAGGTTGGTAGTTCTCTGATGGGTCAAGTTTTGTTGGGGGCTGTTAGTTGCTAGTTCCAGCTGATTTGCTTTTTCTAATTTATGTCAGTTATCTAGAGTGCTAGGTAGGTACCTTTTGTGTGCCTCCATGAAAAGCCATATATTTTGCATGATTTCAATACCAAACCATGAACTGACCCCAGATTCATCAAAACGGTTTGATGAATCTACTTTTTGATTCAAGACGATGACAAAATCTCAAATGAAGGGAGTATCTCCTGGCATTAGGATTCATTGTATTTCACAGGGTAGTTGTACCATTGCTTCCTTTTAAAATATTTGATTTTTCAAAAGTTAAGCCCCATCCTGCAACTACCTCAACACAAGTGCATCCCAGGGGTCTGCCTCCATAAATGTAATTGTAGGACTGGGGTTTAAGTAATAATAATCATCATATGTTCATGTGGTATATACTATATGCTATACTGTAATAAAATATTACATAAAGCACACATCTAATATACTATTAATCTTGGAGATTTCACACAATGTCCTAAAGTCATTTAAAAAAAAGAATGAAAAGGGTTCATGAGTACAGTTAGCAATCTCTATAATAAGCAACAGAGGGTCCTGTGGCACCTTTAAGACTAACAGAAGTATTGGGAGCATAAGCTTTCATGGGTAAGAACCTCACTTCTTCAGAAGCAGTCCATAATATTTTATTAAAATATACTTCTGTTAGTCTTAAAGGTGCCACAGGACCCTCTGTTGCTTTTTACAGATTCAGACTAAGACGGCTACCCTCTAAGTCTCTATAATGTTGTTCTGATAATCCAAGTCTATTGCACCTAGAAAGGAGTTTAGATTAGATCTTCCTGTTGTTGTGCCAGTCTTGTAACAGATTGGGCCTGGTTCCCCTCTCGTTGGTACCACTCTACCTCCATTGCCTTCACAGGAATTAGTCCTAATTAATGTGAGTCAAAAGTCCTATTCCTAAAAGATGTACAGTATTTTATTGATTTAGCTGTTAATACAATGCAATGAATAGGAGACAGTTGCATATTACAGTCTGCTCTTTCCCCATGCTCAAGGGAAATGGGCCCAATTTCATAAATTAAATTAATGGAGATATCCTATCTCCTAGAACTGGAAGGGACCTTGAGTCCAACCCCTGCCTTCACTGCAGGACCAAGTACTGATTTTGCCCCAGATCCCTCAGTGGTGCCCTCAAGGATTGAACTCACAACCCTGGGTTTAGCAGGCCAGTGCTCAAACCACTGAGCTAGCCCTCCCCACATCCTTGATGTCATTCCACTGATCTCAGTGGAGTTACACCAGGGCTGTGTGTGGCCCATAAAGTTTTAAAGTTCCCACAAGCAAAGACATTGACAAAGCAGATAGGGTCAGGGTAAGCAGGGCCGGCTCTAGGCACCAGCAAAACAAGCTGGTGCTTGGGGCGGCACATTTTTAGGGGTGGCATGGCCGGCGCCAGAATGCCACCCCTAAAAATGTGCCCCAGCCGCCCTCGCTCACCTCCGCTGCTGCTGCCCGGGCGCGCGAAACAGCTGATTCGCGCACTGCTACTTGCCCTCCCTCCGCCTGGGAGGGAGGGGGAGCAGCGGCGCGCAAATCAGTTGTTTTGCGCGCCGCGGGGGCTCGGGGTCTCCCCCTCCCTCCCAGGCTCTCAAACCTGGGAGGGAGGGGGAGACTCCAAGTGGCCGCGGCGCGGCGCCGCTTCTCCCCCTCCCTCCTAGGGCTTGAGAGTCTGGGGGGAGGAGGCAGGGCTGGGGGATTTGGGGAAGGGGTGGAGTTGAGGCGGGGCCAGGGGTGGGGTAATTAAATAGGGGGGCGGCCAAAATTGTTTTTGCTTTGGGCGGCAAAAATCCTAGATCCGGCCCTGAGGGTAGGCCCCCTACCTTAAAAGAATAGCAGAAAAAGAAGCAGTCCATAATATTTTATTAAAAGCCAGCAATGACATGAGTGATTGCCAGAGATTTCCAAGCCCCAGTCACAGTGCCAATTACACAATACACAATAAGTTACACACTTTCTTTAAACAATTAATCTTTTCCCCGGGGAGACATCTTTGAGGAGCCCAATGTATTTTTCATTCCTAAAATCATCTAGAACTAGCCCTCCTTGTGCTTAAACTGTGACATTTGCTGTGCCAGACCCAGAGAGGAGGGCCATTAGCTGAACAACTAAGGATGTAAAAAAAAAAATAATAAAGAAGTGTAGCCTAACAGATTAACTGTTAGTTATATGCAATGTGGTGGTTTGAAAATAATTAATATTTTGTACCTATCCTTGTTTGCAAGGGTCTCACCACACTTTATATTTTATAAATATTTGGAGCCTGAGCCACTGTAGTATGAGGAGTGGAACTGAAAACAATGGGTCAGATTTCCCAAGGGAACCAGTCACAATGCGGATGAAAGCCTCACAGCACCGGAAGCCCCCTGACTCAGCCAGAATTCCTCAGGGCAGCCCGTACAAAGAGGAGCTCTGGCATCTTTTGAAAGAGTGAAGCATGCATTCCCCATTGCACCGGGTCAGCTCTGTGTGGAATGGAACAGGCTAATAGCCCTGTGCTCACTCCATGCCTTCCCACGCTATCAGGAGGCTACCAGCTTTGTTAGCCTAGTGCCTGACCCTGCTCCCATCAAAAGCAATGGGGACTTCAGTAGGAGCAGGATCAACACTTGGTGGTCTTGCCTGTACACCTGACTAGATTGGGCAGACCCCTATGCAGGGGCTTCCACTGTAGAGAGAGGAAGGTTTCTTTACCCTTTTTGTCTGTTGTATCCTAAGCCAGCCACATGCAGGCCCTTAATTCATTAACACTGCTGTCATCTAGGCTGTATACCCATTGCACAGACGAAGTCACAAAGACAAAGAGAGGATCGGTGATTGCTGTAGGTGCAAGCCATTGTACAGAACCCACATTCTGAGTTTCCCATGTGGCAGGCC